CTCCGCTCTGTGTCAGTGGGGAAGCTGTACATTCGTACTCCTTTCTCTGAGCGATTGGAGCATCCCCAGGCAGCACAGCAAACCAAGGTGGCGACTAGGAGGCAGCACAGCAACCAGGACAACAAGGAGGAAAAGGCACAGACAAACTGCATGATATGCTATTCAATGTTTATTGAATTCCATGTATTTGCAATGGATGTTCCTAAAACAACACATTTAACATCATCATCATCATGCTGCTGCTGCTAGTCCTTTGATAGTCACCTGTCGGTCTCCTGTCCTTTCTGAAAGCCATAAAGATGACATTAGTCATTTAGATAACTTGTGTCCTCAATTACCATGGGATTACTGAAACTACCATGAATTTAAGAAAATGGTAGACATTAATCTAATCTGAATTTGAAAGCATTACTTTAGATCCCCTCCCTCTAAATATATCAATAAACATTAGAAAGTGATGCTCCTGACTACCATACAAGTTTAAGAAGATAATATTGGTTTTAAAGAATTCAAAGCTATAAATAAACAGCAACAGGCTCTTTAACCAAGGCACTGTTAGCCTAACATGTAAACTAGTTGTTCACACTAATCCTAATATTATCACTTAATATTAGCAAATTCTATTTTATTTTTTAAAACATATTGATGTAAATACATACACATATCGATTTGTTGTATAAATATTGCAAATCAAAACCTTTATTCACTAATAATTACCAAAAATCGTAGTTCTATCTCCTGTTATCAATGCATTCACATTGCCCGCCATGAACTTCCAGGGAACGATCCTCGTCTACATGAACCACGTGACGATAACCGTTTTTGGACTTCCGTTGTCATAACTCTTCTATTATATGGCTCTGGAGAGAACGAACAAGAGGAAAGAAAGTTCATTTAAGTGGAGAAAGATATAAGAAGGTAAGTTTTGTTTTTATACATAGAGCGTCATATTTATATAGCTAGCGTTAGCGTGCCTAACTACTACACCAGCTGAGGAGAGGAGAGCTTCACGTGAAGAGAAGATAAAGTGAGGGAAGAACATTGTTAAAACAGATAACAAATCAATTGCAGGCAAATAACACGGGCCATAGTGAGTACCGCGGAAAAAGGACATTTGAATTCTTAGCAGTTTGTTTATATGTATGTATTTGTGTATAGATGTTGCAACTATACAGAGCTTTAGCAATTGCCTGTAACTATGGTCATGCTAATAAAGCTATTGAATTGAATTGAATTGAGAGAGAGAGAGAGAAGTGACAAAATGTGAAGAGGGACAAAGTAATGACAGGATAGTAGTGTGCATTAGACATGCTCAAGAACAAATAGAGAGACATTCAAGGAGAGAGAGAGAGACAAAACACAGATTCAACGGTAAACATGATGTATCTTTCTATTTATTTAGCTAACCACTATTTAGACTATGTGTTTTTGATGACTTGATTAAATGGATTTACTACATCAATGTATGTCTTTTCAGGCCGCCATGTTTTGTCCTTTCTGTGGCCAGCATCTGGGGACAGTTCAAGTGTTCTGTGGCTCCTGTGGCAAACATGTACAGTTTTTGGCAGAAGTTGAACACAACAGTAAGTTCACTTTTTTTTTATTGTATCTGTTTCAAATGCAAGAAATAAGGATTCAACACACTACTCTGTTTAGAATAGTAATTGACAGATGCATACACTAGTTATCAGCATGAAGGACACATTTTTTCATTGTCTGTTTATGTGAACTATGTAGAAGCCATCATTAAATTGTAGACCAATGCATGATTAAATACACTAAACAGCTTATATGTTACATTCATAATTGTGTATTAGTTCTATCTTTATAGAGAACATTATACATTTAGAATCAGATTTTGAGACAGTGAGCCATGGCATGATGTTTTCTTCTTTTTCTCCTTGTGTTTTTTTTTTTTACAATCAGCATCTGACAGCCCCACAGAAGAGGACCTCATTCGGAAATACTTTCATGATGGCTTCAGCTATGATGACATTTTGGATTTTCTGGAAACTACCCACAATGTAAAAATGAGTTTGCGTACTTTAAAGAGTAAATTAAAAAGTCTTTCATTATCAAGGAAAAAAAACTACTCCCCTCTGGCTAATGTTCGTGTTGCCATTCAAGAGGAGCTAAATGGACCTGGCCAGCATTACGGTTACCGCTCGATGTGTCAGACATTGCGGCAAAAGCACTCCCTTACTGTAAAAAGGGATGAGGTCATGAACTTGATGAGAGAGCTTGATCCCTCTGGAGTTCAACTTCGCAGTAATAGAAGATTTGTACGAAGAACATACAGCTCTGAAGGACCCAACCACGTCTGGCATGTTGATGGCTATGATAAGCTAAAGCCCTATGGTTTGGCCATCAGCGGATGTATTGATGGCTACTCCAGAAAAGTATTGTGGTTGAAGTGTGGAGCAACAAACAATGACCCTGGGGTCATTGCTCAAAATTACATACGTTGTGTCACAGAGCATGGAGTCATACCTATGAGGCTGCGTACAGACTGCAGCACTGAAAACGGCACAATGGCAGCCATCCAGTGTGCTTTAAGATCAAGACACACTGACCATTTTGCTGGGGCTGCCAGTCACATGTATGGCTCTTCAACAGCAAATCAAAGAATTGAAAGCTGGTGGTCGTACTTCAGAAAACAGAGGTGTGGTGCTTCTTTCTTTTTTTTTTACATCCTTGACAGTGAACATAGTATATCTATAAAAAGTTATGTAATTATATATTCAGTGTATTAGTTCCGATCTCCTACAATAATTGTTTTACAACTAAACTGCACCACAGGCACAGCCAAAACATGGTATGCCTAGTGTGGTTGCTGATTTCCTTTTAATTTAATTGATCGGAATCATCAGTTAAAACACAGATTACCCCTTTATCTCTGTTCCTTAATACAGTTCTTATAAATATGACTATTTGATACCACAGGTTTACTGTTATTTGTTATATTTATTTTGAATCCCTTTACATGGAAATCATCAATGTATAAAAAAAAAGCTCTCATTTGAATCTGTTTCTTCAGGTCTCAATTTTGGATGGATCTCATGAATGACCTGAGAGAAAAACATCACTTCAGTGGCAGTCATGCGCACACATGCCTAGTGCAGTTTGTCTTCATGGGTGTGCTACAGAGGGACCTTGACGAATGCAGGGAAAAGTGGAATACGCATATTATCAGACCTGTAAACCAGTCTCGTTGTCCATCCGGGAAACCAGATGTCATGTACAACCTGCCACACAGGTTTGTTTCTATCAATTAAACATATTTCTCAATTTTGTTCAGATTTATTTTTAGTAACTGCCTAAAATTCTAAGAAAAAATCAGTTGCCCCAAAGTACATTTTTCACTATAACTTAAGATTGTGTCATAATCTGTTCACCTCAGTCAGTCACTCAGTTATTACTCAAATAATGTCTACTATTAAGTGACAGTAACTTTTCTAATTTTCAAAGAAGTTCAACAACAAAACAACATTCAAGAACAATTTTGTACATGTGAATAATAAACTGTTGAACATATTGCACATCCAGGTACGGTGGAACTGACTGTGGGTTCCCAGTCCCACAAGACGACTTGGGCCAGTTTGTTCTGGACTCGACCAACAGTCTATGTGGACCACTTCCAGGAACACTTTGAGAACCTTCAAAGAACGAGTGGTCTAATGCAACCCTTGACCTGGGAGTCTTGTGTTGCGAACTATATAACTATGAAGAACATGGCTAATTTGTAAATTGTAAGCCCAGCTTTCAATAAAGTCCAAAACCAGGCGAATTTTGGATTCCAAAGTCCATGTTGCTTTCAAACTGTTCGTAGGTGCTTGACATTGGTATTTCTATTGTGTTTGAGCAGGTTCTGCCGATTGGAAAGCGAGATGTCCGGTGAAAAACCAATTGGGGTCTCGGCTGGATTCCAGACGGTGGCAGGGTGTTTAATCCTGTTGAGAACATCAGGATGTCACTGAGGAGGAGTCCTGTTCGTTTTTCTGAGAAGAAAAAGTAATATTACGGTTTTTTGTTTTTTTTAAATATCAAGATGGATAGAACTGCCATTAATAGCTACCGTAATTATTTTAAGATGTGAACAATGTTGGAACTCAAATAAACCTTATTTTTCAAGGAGATAGTCTCTCCAAAATCCCAGCACCCTGGTTTCCTCATGGCGTCTTGTGCTTCCTTTTTCGCTGCTGTGCTGAACCTCAAAGACTTCCTCCAATGTGGCAGAAGTCAGCTCTACCACACTTGAGCACATAAAAGCTCTGAAAACACTTCCATGCTGCTCCAAAGCATGAATCACATCCAAGGCTTCAAGTCCGTCTTTGAATCTAGGAAACATTAGACACAAAGACCCATCAATCTACTATCACCTATCGCCAGGTTAGTAACAATATCTGAAAAAAGTATTAGAACCAATTTTAGATCTACTTCATTTCTTAATGACCTCTGGGTTTTACATGCAGTAAAGTAAATCAATCAATAATCTTTACATATTTCTGTTTTATATTTTACTTTTTGACCAAGACCAATAACATATATTAAATAAAGTCAGAATAACTTCTGTGAAAGTAACTAAACTGATAATAAAATTATCTCCAAATGCAGGATTATCCAGTGAATCGATAGATGCAACTCTACCCTTGTAAACCCTCAATCGCCTTGGTATCACAATTGGTCATAGAACGCTTGATTTAGGCTTTTCTTATCTTTAAATGTTTGTTCCGAGCTTCAATACACGTTAAACTGCTTTTAATAATTTTAATGATGTTTTAAATGCAATTTTTGTATTTTCTGAAAGTGTAAAGCACTTGGAATTGCTTTGTGTCTGAATGGTGCTAATATAAATTATAACCTTGCTTTAACATCTAAATGGTGATGTGTTTGACTCGATAACAATTAAAATATATTGAACTTAGGTTAAATAGTGCAGAAACATTACCTTCATATGGCAAAATGGTTGCGGTAAATGATGTACCACTGCATGAAATCCTTTATGATTGCGTTTTTCCATCCACACCATCAGGGTACTGCAAGCAACCTGCAGTCTGCAACAAGCTGGAATTTCTGTCGATTGATGTATGTAGTTCCTCCAATGTAGCTGCGCTGGATATCTACGATAGAAAACAATCATAATCCATAAACATAAATCAATATGCTGTCAAACTCGCATATGAAGGAAGACAGGTAATTTATCAAATTAAAAATATATATTCTCAATAATTGTAACCTAATATGCCAGCCTACCTCAAGCAGGGAAGCTCTCATAGTGTCATCAGTAATGTCTTCAATGATGGCTTCAATGTTGGTGTTTTTCATTCCAGTGAGGTGCTGGTAGAGCGTCTCTGACAGGAAGCGGGGGCCTGGACCACCATGAACTATAGAAGTTGCAATCATCCTCCCAGCATGAAAGTATTCGTCATCTTTTGCAGCTCTTGATATATATATATTTTTTGTCAAATTATTATCACGTTAACCAACAGTTGCCACGTTATCATAAAGATATACAGTATAAGATAATTTAATTGTCACGTAAATCCAGCTGCAAAATCCATAAGCAGCTCCTATATTTACAGTACAGTATTGAACATAAGACAGATTTGCGAACATCATTACCTGCATTGTCGAACGTGAGGAATTTCCTGTCCTGTGGACCATCAAATATTCTTCTCATTCTCAGGCATTCCATAAGGAGGGTCAGGAACTCCCGCTTGGGACCACCAGTGTCCACTCCATCCTCAGTTTGTCCCTCATCGTCAGTAAACTTAACCTGCATCTGATGAGAGGGATCGAATGAGGCCCGTTTGAAGCCGTGGATTGCTCCATCCCATACATTGGATCGGTTAATATTAAACCTGCTGCAAGAGGTATTTTTTATTTTTGCAGAGAGTTCTGCAAAAACGTCTGGCGCAGTCAGGTATTCTGTGCTGGGAAAGACAAAGTGATGTATTGTAATATTAAATGATGAAGCTAGTAATAAGATTTACAGTATAGAATAAAAAAATTAAGTGGTAATAGTAACAATTAATACCTTTCCTCTGCAGTTTGCTCCGTTTCCTCTTCTGGCTCAGACTGGCTGTCAATAATGATCGGAGCATACACATTTGTGTAGTTGCTGCAGTGAGAAGACAGTTGAATAATTACTTTCAAATACATAATATATGCATGACAGTCATATTTACAAAAGGATGTCGATCCTCTTCCTGTTCTTTATTTTTAATACATTGGGTTCTAAACTGACAACAGCACTTTGTCATACTCCTGCACAATCCTTGTAAACATTTGAAATGGATGCAAGAAACAATATCTGATCTTTGAAAAATATTTGTGGGTGTTTTTTGTATCGTCTTCACTAAGACGTAAGATGTTGTCGGTGTCCTTTGGAAATGTATAAAAGTATAATCTTTCTGCTTCCTGGCAATGTTACCCACTGGGATTGGAGGCTATACAAACGAAAAATAAAAATACACACCAAACAACTGTGTCACGATGCAACTGTCAACATCGTTTACCTATAGAAGGTGTTCTGACCCGGGGCAGACTGGACCTCTTCCTGGAATGGTGTTGGTGCTCCATCCTATTTTTACCCAGGAAATAATAATGATGTAGTTGATCTAATGACAGTGTCATTAGCACATAAAGGTATTTATTGATTTCATGTTCACAAATTCAAACCTACATGGTATAATTACATTTTTAATTAGTCTTACCCGATCAGACGCTGGTTGTGGGTGCCTGAGAGATCTGATAAAGGTAAACAAAAAATATATTCAAACTACTGTACTGTTAAAACATTCTGCTTCTTGTGGCACAAAATAATATGTTGACAATGTTTTATTTTACCCTGGCAAACTGTTTTCTCTGTTCATTTGGAAAGTCCCACCTGCATACAACACACAAATGACTGACTGAAATCAAATTAACTTAATTAAGAATAAATGCCACGATAGATCCAAACTGACCACGGTGTCAGCAAGACTGTCTCCAGATGGCAACTTTACGACAACCACACTGTCCTCGTCACTTGAAGAGGTTGTTCCAGTGTAACCTAAGAAATTGTTGACCGTCCTTTTCACTCTCACATTAGGATTTACATTGGGGCACAACAAACCAACATTGTTGTGAGAAAAAAGGTTAATTTAGAATTACAATCCTTAAGAGGGAATTTATATTTAGTTTGAACAGAAGGAAAGTTTGGAAGCTTTTGTTGATACTTAAATTCCATTTCTTCTGCCACTATTCATAAAAGACCATTTGACCTCATAAGTTCAACCACGAAGAGAAAGGAATGATGGGTGGAATGAATTGTGTTAAGAAATATAGACAAAACAACTGTTATGTTTACATTTCAACTATTATACAGTTTAGTGCTTTAAACAAGGGGGAATATATGTCAGAAGCACTTACAACTGTTTTCAACGGCTTCAAGAGTACAGATGTACAACGTAATTCGTTGGTAGGGCTTTCCAATGGCCTCTTTGTACATCTGTACTGTGAAAGGGGTGTCCGTTCCGGTGATATTTGTTATCACCCTCGCATCAGGGCACAACAAAACATGGGCACCATCTTCCAAGTCCTGGTTAAAGGCTTTCTGCTTTTTTATGGCAGCAGCCAACAGTTCTTCACATGCCCATTGAGGTTCAACATTAAGGGGAAGTGACCTCCCTCTCACGAGTTTAAGGCAGCCATCCATCCTCCTCATTACTCCAACAGAAATCTGCAAAAAGACAATAACATGCAAATGAATAAAACATTTGTTCGGACATTATATGAGAGTGTGGTGAGCAGATTTGAATTACAGATGTATTCATAATAGAAAACGTTGCATACCTTCACCAATTTCTGTTTCTTTTCATTTTTGGAGTTATGCCGTCCCTTTGTAAAAAAGGTCTTTCTCTCCCTCTTTTTTATTTCCCTATATTTTTGAAAGGACTCTACAGCTGAGCTTCCTGCTACAAAAAAATACAGGAATAAACATTCATTACTCTTAATTATGTTCAATAGGAGTCTCATCCTCAATCCCTTCTGAGGAACATCTTATAACACATTCAACAGTAGGTAAGCCACATAGTTTAGAGATGTATTTGTATAATAACAGAATTCGAACTTTTAAACCAAGTTTTCTATAAATATGTATTGGTGCTAGGCTGTGCACTTAGATGCGCACTAGTGGTGGGCATCTCCTCAGGGAAAGACTTTGTTAGCCACATCTTTTAGAAATGTGATGTCTCTGCCACAGACACCACAAAAGCCATGCAAAGATGTCATGCTGGAACCACAGAATGGACTACATCTGTGGAGAAATAAAATGTAGGACAGCTAGGTTAAGTCAAAAAGAGTGGATATTTTTCGGCTACCTAAATATTATAATAGTATTAAAGAACGGTCTTTCAATTAACTCATCAGAAGCCAACCTCCTGTCTATCCCCACACAAACCAAACACCGAACCTGGGGGGACAGAGCTTTCTCCATCGCTGCCCCCTCCCTCTGGAACTCACTCCCATTAAACATCAGAGACTGCACCGACCCCCCCACCTTCAAAACACACCTCTTCAGACTGGCTTTTAATGTGGGAATAATGTTGTGTTGCTGTTTTAATATTTTAATTCAACTTTTTACATTTGATTTGATTTTTTTATTTTTTTTTATATTTCACCTTTCTTTATTGATTTTCACTTATACCAAAACAATGCAGGGCACATGAAAATGCAGATGTGTAATCATACAATCATACACATACACATATTCATAAACACCCACAGCTGCACTTAAAGAAATAAAATAATAAAATAAACAAATAATACAATCCACTAAAATAAACAGTACATTAAAAGGGAAGGTTGGGGGGGGTGGGGGGGGGCTTCATGCAGTCAGATTTGCACAGGGGAGTTTGCTAAAATAGTCAAGGAAAGGCTGCCAGAGCTTGTAGTATTTGTTAACACATCCCTGGCTACGATACCTCAGCTCCTCCAGCTGCAAATGTGCCATCACATCCCTCACCCAGTGGGCGTGAGATGGTGGAGTCCGGTCTTTCCATTTGAGGAGGATTATACGGCGGGCAAGAAGGGTTGCAAACGCAAGTGAGTGTGACTGGCAATTAGAGAGGGAGACCCCCTCAGGGGCTACTCCAAACACAGCTATTATGGGATTTGGTTGTATGTTCTGGCCATACATCACTGAAAACGTTTCAAATATAGAAGACCAAAATGGGGCAATGGACTGACAGGAGAAAAACATGTGCAATAGGGTAGCCCTGGCACAATGACACCTCTGGCACGTGGGATCCACCTCAGGGTACAGCCTGGCAAGCCTGCTCCTGCACAGATGTAATCGATGGAACACTTTAAATTGAAGTACTCCATGCCTCACACAGATGGAGGATTTATGTATGTTCTCAGTTGCAAACCGCCAGGTCTCATCGGTTAGTTCTATGCCCATTTCTTCTTCCCAGGCACCCCTTAAGGTGGTTAAGGGAGGGGCTAGAGATTTCTTGAATAATATTATATAGCTTTGAGATATAGCCTCCCTGACAAGGTTTGAGGCCAAGGCAGTCTTCCATCCATCCACCAGGTGGGGCGGCTGGGAAGGAGGGAAATTGTTTTCTTGTATAATCACGAATTTGTAAATATCTAAAATAATGATTCCTTGGGATGTCATATTCTTTGACTAAATGTTCAAAGGATGTGAATACCCCTTCATAGAACAGATCAGCAACACACTTAAGTTCCTTCCGGGACCACAGGTGGAAAGCGGAGTCTATCAGGGCTGGTTTGAAAGCCGGATTGCGAACTATGGGGATGGAGGAGATAGTTTGTCTATATCCAAAATGCCTCCTGAACTGTGACCATATCCTAAGAGAGCTATTGACCACAGGGTTGTTCGAGTGATATTTTCTACTAAGTGGTAAAGGAGCACACATCAGGGAGGCAGGGGCCAGTGGTTCACATGAGTGTTGTTCCATGCTAGACCAAATAGGACCGCCCCCTTCCCGGAAATGACTCATCCAGAATGCCATTTTTTCTGGATATTGGCAGCCCAGTAGTAGTGTAAAAAATTGGGTAATGCAAGACCCCCCTCTGACTTTCTCTTCTCAAGAAATGCCTTACGCAGACGGGGAATTTTCTTATTCCAGATAAAAGTGGAAATATATTTGTCCAGGTCTTTAAAAAACTTTTTAGGGATAAAAACAGGAATTGACTGAAAATAATACAGCATACGTGGCATAATAACCATTTTAATAGTGTTCACCCTGCCCGCCAACGAAATAGGGAGCGACGCCCAGCGCTTCAGATCCTCATTAACCTTGTCCAGAGCTGGTTGCAGGTTCTTTTTAAACAGGGTTTTAAAGTCCTGTGTCACACACACTCCCAGGTAGGTGAAAGAGTCAATGGCCACTTTAAAGGGGAGTTTGCTAAATGAAAGCTTGGCCGCAGTCTCATTGATGGGGAAGAGTATACTCTTGGTCATGTTGATCTTATACCCAGAAGCCTTGCCGAAAGAGGTGATTACATCGAGTGCAGCCGGAATGGACCTAAGCGGATCGGAGCAGTACAGTAAAACATCGTCTGCATACAAAGACAGCTTATGCGTATAGCCTCCCCGCTGAATTCCTGTAAAATTTGACCGATTCCTGAGAGCAGCTGCTAACGGTTCTATGGCTATATCAAACAAGAGGGGGGACAGGGGGCATCCCTGCCTTGTGCCCCGTTGAAGCCGGAAGTATTTCGAAATTATATTATTAGTGCGAACTGCTGCCTGAGGTGCAGAGTAGAGGACCTTTATCCAGGAGATAAAGCATGGGCCGAAGCCAAATTTAGCAAGAGTTGCAAATAGGTAGGGGTGCACCGAATGGGAAATTCTT